GATGCTATTACTACCAGGCTCAATCTCAAATCATATTGTGATATCGATGGACCTATAAATCTGAGAGAGCATCAAAGAGTAGTATGTTAGGTGGAAAGTTTACATCACATTACTAATAAATGTAAATGTGATAAAAAATGTAGGTCTTTAGACTATGCTTTGCATAAATATCCTCCAAATCCTTACATTCTAGTATTAGATAAGATTGTATCAATTATCTCGCAAACACAAACTCGTTTAAATGGTTTGTCTATATTTCTTGCCAATTTCTCAGAATTAATTACTCAGGCAGAAAGAGTTATTGTACTAGATAATGATCTCACTGACCTTAATATTGAATGGATTAAAGGACTTTGACCAAATAGAAAATATTCAGTTATCTACAACACATACCAGCCTCAAAAAGGTAAAACATTCCGTCTAGCTTCTGATAAAGAAACTGTATTGATAGAACTTTGGGGATGGGCCAAGCAAATGACATCATTACCTTTTGAGAAGTGAAAAAGTGCATCTCTTATCTGTCATGAGAGGAGAAATATTCAGGTATTGTTCAGGCTCTTAGAGCTGATTTTCCGGAATTGCGTATAAAAGAGTATCATGATAAGTCAGACCCAATAGAGAAAACTTGAGATTTTAGAGATGTAGATAATGCATGGAAAAATATTGATCTTGTTGCATATACCAGTACATTAAAGATAGGGGTTTTTTGCATCAATCCTAAGTTTGAGCGAGCATTCTGTATCTTCAGTAGTTATATAGAAACAAATGCTAAGACAAATCAAATATTATTACACATGCGATGCATTAAAGATTATATATGTTATATTCAACAAAGGGCATCTAAAGCTCCAACTACAGAAGAGAGGTTGTTTCAATAGTTAACAAAAGCAAAATGCAGATGTCTTCTTCAAGAGCTTCAGAATAGAGGAATATTTTCAAATATAGATACTATTATTCGAAATAAAGATGTCCCAACTATCCGATTATAGGTGGCATATATGTTGGAAAAATTCTGCTCTCAATGTTTATTTGGTTGGAGAATGGTTGATTTTCTCCAAAAGGTAGGTATAGTAGTTTCAGTAATAGAACCAACTCCCAAACCTGAAGATAATACTGTGTTATTAACTGAAACAGTAAAGGAATGTTCTTTGGTTATTAAAGCAGAGGAAATTTCAGACCTTGCAAATGCAAATATTATTAACTATAAAACGGTTGAGCATCTAGAAAATAAACCAAAGAAAACTTTAGAAGAACTGCAAGCATTAGACTGGCACCATATTGTAAATTGCTATAATATAGCACCTAAGTCTTTGACTGAAAAATTTATCTTAGAGTTTGGAAATTATAATCATATGTGCTGGTTTAGAGCTCTCCAGAAATTACAAGATGTAGGCACTAATAATGAGACAGCAGTTGAGGCAATTACCCGTGAAGATTATAGAAATGATAGGCTTGCAACTGTTACTAGAGCTGAAAAACATCGAATTTGTCTTGGATTATTAAAAATTTGTACACCCGTTAAAGATATCGATGATAGAAATAAATATAAAACTGATATTGTTAAAACACAGTTAGAATCACCTGAATCTATAAAATATCTTCAAAAATTAGTTTCTAAAATGGCTTGGGTTTTTGATAATACAGATGCATTCCGATGCGCCAAAAAATCTGGATTAAAAACTCTTAGAGCAAAACTTGGTTTATTAAATTTAGCACTTTATGCAACTTATGGTTTGAAGCTCAAAGATACAAATAACAAGCATACACATTATCATCTAGTTGGAGCATTTGATAGTATATATGCCTATGCATATATACCCAAGTTGCCACCATACCAGACGGGTGAGGATTGGGATAATGGTGAAGATTGGCGATATGGGTATAGTAAACTCTCGCCCGATAAAATAGAAACTTCTCCCAATTCTATCTCACAGGATACTCAGGACCTATTTGATATCTGTTATTGTATATATCTATTTAGTAATAGTCTGTGACATATTTTACAAAGGGGGTTTTTGTGATGCTTAAAATTGATACTTGTAAAAAAAAATCCATTACGAAGACCATTTTTGTGATGCTTAAAATTGATACTTGTAAAAAAAATCTATTACGAAGACCATTTTTGTGATGCTTAAAATTGATATCTATAGTTATATAGTGCTTACCTTTGGCAAATGTGAGTATAATTACGTATCTGCTTCTATTCTCTGCGCCTTTTGTCTCTCATACCAATTTCAAAAGTAAACCCTCTTCGCATGTTTGGGACAATATCCTGTTCCAGAAATTGTTAGTTTTTCGCAAATCCCACAAGGAAATTTTGCTATATTTGTATTATATAATTTTCAGTACAATGAACACCCTATGTTCTGCCAACAACCTTTTCTACAAATCGAACTATCTCTTTTAACATATGGGCAGATTGGACGCCCTAAACTATTACTTTTAACATATTGATATGTTGAACACTCCAAATTGTCTTCTTTAACATATTGACTAATTGGATACCCTATTCAAAGTGATTTAATATATAATGTATAAAGCTCGTTTCACTTTTTATGTGAATATATTTAATATAAAATCAATTTAAACTTTTCCAAATTATTTTGTAATAATATAATTAAATATATATTGACACTATACATCACACTTAAAAATGGAAACACCTCAGAAAGTAGTCAACTTATTAACCAAGAAAGAGATCGATCACAATAGACCAACATCCCGCAAACTAATATGTAATGGTTTTAGGTACATAAAAGATTTAGCTGAATTTCTACAATTACCAGATATTATAGATTATTATTATCCTGAACAAATTAGATTCATGAATGTTCTGTCCCATCCAGCTATGATACCACCGATTGATAAAATAGAAAATAGACCTGATATTTACAAGAAATGGTCCATAAGTATAGAAAAATACCAAAATCTATTCCAAGCATTATAAAAAATAAAAATAAATCGTAAATCTTAATTTAACCTAAATCGCAACTCCAAGGCTATAAATTTTTTCGTTATATCCTATATGTTAGTAAATTTCAAATTAACATCCTACTTATCTTATAGGTATGCATAACCTTTTTTTCTGGGTATAGGAGGAAAAAGCGTAATTAATTTCGAATTGAAAAAAATAAGTAGGTTAATCTATAATTACATTCTACTTATCGATATAGATTATTTACATATCTATCATGGCAACTGTCCAAAAAACTAGAAAACCCAAAACTAATAGCTTTACCTTCATTTTGGATCAGGTCCTTAATAAATATAACCTATTGGCCGAATCAAACCCACTTCAATTATGTGCTCATGCCGATAAGCTTAGTACTATGCTACCGGATTGGAAGGCTCGTAAAGATGTGAAAGAGGCTCTCCGTCGGCGCTTATTCAAAGAAAATCAAATAGGAGCTCTAGTTCCAAATAACAAAAAGAAGAGGCTTACTATCAAGGAAAGAGCTCAATATTGTGCAAAAACTAAAGATGTGTGAGATATTTAGTTACATGCTTTAGACTTAGCTGTGCCAAAAAATAATACAGATGAAGCAATTGTGGCAGCTAGTTCTTATATTTCACAATTTCATAGAGAGTTAGCAGAAGCTGGGATTGGTTCTGAGCAAATTTATATATATGCTAAATTACCAGAAGTTACTCAAGCTTCTAACGAAATTCAAAAGAGGCAACTCAAACAGCGATACCCAATCCACCTAAAACTTCCAAACACTTTTCCTTAGAGGAAGGACTTAGAAGAATTCAAAATATCAATACTACTAAAATCCCTACTATGCAAGATCTTGCAGATATAATTATGATGTTGAGTATGAGACTCGCCGAAGTTGCTACTCTTTGTATTATTCATTATGAACCTGGTGAATCGAATCCTTTTGAATAGTACAAGCCTGGTTATTCTTGGTATTGTATCGGGTATATTAAAAATAAAGGAAAAGCAAAAAATAATCCCAAATCTTGGCAATTTCTATCTATGGAAAAGAATCCAAAATGTGCAAAAGAATTGCTTACCTGGATCCAAGATGCAATAGCAACTGGAAAGTTACGCAATCCTGTCTATAGTATTAATGGAAAACGCAGTACAGGAGTATTTAGTAAATTTTTAAAATCATATGGTATTACAGCCAAAAGATTAAGAAAAATTGGAGGTAAACATGCTTCTAGAGTTCATGGTGGTCAAAATCCAACTTTGCAACATCTTGAATTCCTTAGCAGAGTTGCAATGAGGCATAAGATAGATCGTCATAATTCTGGAATGTATTATGCCAAGGGTGATACTTCCGATTCTGACCTTGACGCAGATCCAAAACCTGAACCTGAAGCTCTAGCTCCCACACCCAAGGCAATTAATGAGAATACTTCTGAAATTGAGGATATCTATGACTTATATAGAAGTATTTAGATTAGTTCATAACTTATTTATTCATTCACTATAACCCAGCTTTACCGCTTTGGACCTGCTTTAGAATAATTAGACTTATTAGATATTTTTTAAATAAAGTTATATATGCAAACCAACTCCATAGAATTATTTCATATATATTAAGAAAAATAGGTGCCGATCATGCTTCCAGAGTACATGGAGATAGGAATGATTCCTACTGTTAATATTTACAGCAATTGGCATGTAGACATAAAATAGGTCATGCTTTATCAGTTAAACATTATGGTGTAATGAATGACAGACCAAATACCCCAGCACCTAAACAAGAAAATAGCGAGGTCGAGGATATTATTGATCTATATAATTACTAATTGCTTTTATCCCATTCAGAGTTGGACCTGGACTCAGATGAAGATAAAAATTCAGACGAAGACTCAGATGCGGTATTATTAAAAATTAGTTTTTTTCTAGCATTGCATTTTCTTTTAATCTCACATGGTGTACGATTTCTTTGAGAAATATCTGGGTTTGCTATTGAGTTTATAATATCCTGCTGAATCTTGGGTTTTACTATTTTCAGTAATCGGTCCAGATTTTTTTACCTGATACCTGTTTAGTAATATGGGATACAGTTCTATTAGCTTCAGTCATTGTAAATATTAAATTATTTATTAATACTAATTTAAAAATACGCCTAAACTAATTATTCAAACATTAGTTATTTTTTTGATTAAAGATATATAATATATAACTTAAGAATGGCGCAACTAAATATTTTTGATTTACCAGAATTGCTAGAACAGATTTTATATTTTTTAGAAATCGATCAATCTCTCTATCCTGCTTTATTCATCAACCACCTTTGGCAGTGTTGGCATTGGACATATGTCCACCCATTTTTAATGCCATTGGACTGGACATGGATATTGGATATATACTTGG